GTGGCTGCTGTGTGAGTGTGTGGGGCTGCTCGGGCGGACTATGGTTACACAAAATTTTAAACAAACATGACTTTTTAAAAATTGCTATATTAAATATATTTAAAAATTTTAGAATTCAATAGTATATAGAACAAGCTTTCATTTGGAATACAACTTCTTGTCTTCAGTACGTACTGTATAGAGTGTTAAAAAAAACCTTGTCAGACCACAGTATTTTTGGGAAAAACTTCTTTCTGTGTAGGCGGCCTGCGGGCGTGCTTACGGATTATAACTCTTACTACGCAGAATTCACTTTTCTGTGTTGCCGGAGAAGAGCTGCGGAACTTCCTTCTACGTAGGCGGCCTTCGGCCGCGTTTAGGGATTGTAACCATTACTACGATGACTTCTCCTTTCTGTGTTGCCGGAGAAGAGGTGCGGAACTTCCCTCTGCGTAGGCGACCTTCGGCCGAGCTTAAGGAATATAATCCTTACTACGCAGAATTATCCTTTCTGTGTTGCCGGAGAAGAGAGGCAGATCTTTTTCCTGCGTAGGCGGCCTTCGGCCGCGCTTAAGGATCATAACCATTACAACGCAGAATTCTCCTTTCTGTGTTACCGGAGAAGATAAGACCTTATTTGGTGTAAACTTGTCACTTGCTTGTAAATGCATTTAAATTTTTTTATTAACACTGAATACTTAAACATCAAAAGCAGATCATAATGAAATATTTCTACCAAATTAAAGGTAATAACATGTACTTTCTAAATAATGTACATTTCATAAGCATTAATCACGTAATGTTTCAAAAAGGTTATTTTATGAAAAAATTACGAATTCTTTTTCGGTTTTTAGTATTTTTGGCTTGAAAATATGAAAAATAATATAAATTAGGTACACGAACTGAAACATAAATTAACCCAACAAGCATTTCAGTAAATGTTTTTAAAAATAACTTACAGTAAGTTGCGTTAATAAGCGTTTTTAATATTAAGTTTATTAAAAGTTTTTTCAAATAAACCTTTAATAAGTGTTGAGAGCGAATGTTTATAAATCACTTAAACTTAAAAATGAAATGCAAAACCAACGACATGAAGCAGTAAATATAACATTTTGACGTGTTTACGTTCTTTAAAATATATTATTAAAAGAAAAAATAATATAAAACCAATGCGGTAAAAATAGGCGGAAATGTCGCGTTTAAAAAGTGAAAAAGACAGTGTGAAGAAATTATAAATTTGAATAGTGAAGTCCGCGGAAGGACACATTGAACATAAAATGATGAGTTCTCCTTATCCTTGCTTACTTTAACATTCAATTAAAAATGTATAAAATTTTGTTCAGAAAAGTCCATCAATGAGAATGGCGGCGATGAAGCGGAATATATAGCTGCATCGATGTCGTTTTTATAACCGCATGTAATTAAAAGCTGCTGCACGCAACAAGATGTGATAATTAACTTTTTTATGCTTAATGTTTGTATGTTATCGTGAATTTGAATGCTAAAATGTCTCTTCTCTATTTATATTTTCGCGACTGTAGATGAGTCCGCCGAAAATTCGCATTTCTTTTAGTTTCTAGATGGTAAGCAATATATGTATGAGTTTTTAATGAAATATCTTTAAATAAAGGGTTATAAAAACGTTTATAAAAAGCTTTATTTTGAAAATTTTTAGTAAGTTTATATTCATACGCTTATAAACAATTTTTTTTTAACCTTTATTATAAGTTTACACTTTTACACTTATAAAAAGCTTTCTTTTCAGCATTTATTATAAGTTTATATTTCTACGCTTATAACCAAGGTTCGATTATATTACGCTTACTTTCAAGTGTTTTATAAACAAAAAATCAACGTTTTGTAAGCTTAATGTTTATAATACAAAACTTTAAAAAAGCTTTCTTCAAGTTTAATTTGCTCGTTGGGAATTATCTTTATTTCGACACACGACTTTTTTGAAACGGTTGTGTACTAGAGCTGGGCTACTATCGATAGTATCGATAGTAGAAAACTGTCGCCACTATCGATAGTGCTCGAAAACTATCGATATCGGTTTTAGCGGCAAAAAAAAATGTTTAGTTATTGGAATTTTTAGCGACTATAAGCTTACACTGAGTTACAGTAAAATTTAATACGCTATAAAACCGCTTACGCAAAATTTTTATAGAAATTCGAATTAAAAAGCTTGAAATTTTAATGATTTTGTAGTTTTTTACGTTTTGTACAACTTTTACAAAAAATTAGTAGACACTAAACAAACAAAAAATAGTCAAAACTGCTATAAATATTGTGGTGCTATTATTTTGACCAGTACTTTATTCGTTTTCTTATAATATGGTAAAATGTTAATAATTTCCTTATTCCGGATTTTGATATGCGCCTCCGTATTTGATCTCAGTTGAACTTTTATAAATATGAGTTGTCGATTTAAACGAATATCTTTTGTTTTGTTTGTTTTGTAGTATTAGAAATGTATTATTATAGCCAATTTCACTTTTTGCACTTCAAAAGGGACAAACATATGTATATATAATTCAGACACATAAATTAATAAGTTTATTTTATTATTATAAGTTCTTTTTGATGCACTCAAGTTTAAACAAATTTATATAATCTCTTTAATTTTCAAAGTAATTTATAAATTTTATAAATTTATTAATTATTTAATTTTCAAGCAATTTAGCATTTTAATTCAATACCTCTCACAACGATGTACTCTCGATACTATCGATTTTTTCAACTATCGTTTCGAAAACTATCGAGTGCGGTACTATCGATAGTATCCCAGCTCTATTATGTACTCCGTAAGATATTGATATTTTAAAAAATCAAAAAAATAATTATAATTTTCAACACTAAATATCTTTAAAACTAGAAGATCTCGGAACCTAAAAGTGGGTATATTTGAAAAGTGGAGGAGCCCAGCTTTCCAATGGCATAGTCAAAATTTTTCGCCCCGGTTATCGTAATCTCCCCGACATATGCATATCAAACGAAAGGGAAATAAATTTGCTTTCTACCAAAAAGTACGATAACAGTATCCTAATAAGGCTACTTTTAAAGAAGAAGCAGTTTAAAAGGAGTTTTTTCAAATATTTTTTATAAAAACCAATTTTTATCATAAATTTGAAGGCAAGGTACAAGGAATGCGCACTCGAGAAAAGTGAATTAATTTCTTTTAAGGCGGTAGATTAACTTTTACAAACGCTTCACTGGTTTGGAGATATTACGGTTTTTCAAAAAGCAAATTTCGATCTTTGATCTTCGAAATATTTTTGCCTGTGGTCGTAGGAGTACTTGTGTAACAAAACTGGTTAAATGTCATATATATCAACTTTGATAAAAATGTCTTTAAAATAGTATTTCTTAAGCTATATAACCAAGCTATCAATGGGCAGCCATAAAAGTTCCCACTTCTACTTCACCTTTGACGTACGTCAAAGAGAACATAGTCCTTTTAATAATATTTTTTTTCTGTGCTTTAAATACCTGCTTTGGCTTATTTCTTTATTATGATTTTTTTGGACCAATCTTAAAAAAAAACTACTAGACACAAAAGAAGTGTGCACTGTAATTCTTAACAAAATTTTCGTGATTTGCGTGTGATGTTATAGGCGACATACACGGTGCGTCTGACTGAGTGAGTCGGTTTGGATGTGTTTGTGAAAATAAATATCTCTCTAGTACGGTCGGTAGCAATTAGTCCATTTTAATTAGTGATTTCACTCATTAAAGGTAGCTGGTGAATTTACTAGGGTAACGTATTCTAAGAACTCATGTAATGTGATGAACAGCATTACAGGTAATCTGGTAGGTCCGGTGAATTCACTAGTTCCTCACTGGTGCGTTGTTGTTGTTGTTGTTGTAGCGGCTACAACAACCCCGCCCAGATCGGTTGATATCTCAGTCGTTGTCGTCGAGTTCCACTAACGGCAGCCCCAAGAAGCGTGCAGCGGTCCACAGTGACGACGCCATTAGGGTTGTGGGGTTTTCCGGGCATGCGAAGAGATGTTTCGAGTCGTGAGGGGACTCTCCGCATGCCGGACATTCGTTCGGCACATCCGCATTTAGCCTACTCAGGTAGAAGTTCAGCCCGCTGCAGTAGCCAGAGCGAAGTTGGGCTATTGTTGTTCTGGTCTCCCGAGGCAGGTTGTGAACAGGGTCGCAGAGGATTTCGTAGGGGAGAGGGCTAGACACTTTGCAGTGAAGAAGCGAGAAAGTTCGGAGAGATACCCGTTTACTTTCGAACACAATTCCATTCCCGGTCGCCATGATCGAGCAATCGTCGGCGTAAGAGACAATCGAGACTCCCTCTGGTGGTTGAGGGAGCTTTGCAATGTAAAAGATAAACAGTAACGGGGAAAGGACACCACCCTGTGGAACCCCCTGTTTTATTTTTCTAAGTTTGCTCGATTTGTCTCTAAACATTACCGACGAGCGTCGACCACTCAGATAATTTGCCGACCACCGTTTGAGCCTCTGTGGGAGAGAGGAAGCCGCTATATCTTCTAGTAGCGTGGAGTGGCTGACAGTGTCAAAAGCCTTTGACAGGTCCAACGCTTCTAGAATCGTTCTCTCACAGGGACGTTTACGGTTAAGGCCACGAGTTATCTGAGTGTTTATGGCGTTAAGTGCTGTTGTTGTTTTGTGCACTTTACAGAAACCATGCTGATGCTTCGCTGGGGTCAAGTGGTGTGTGAAATACGGGAGTAGCAAGGCCTCGAGTGTCTTCGCTACCGGGGAAAGGAGTGTTATCGGCCGATAAGAATCTCCTATGTTGGCAGGTTTCCCCGGTTTGAGCAGTGGGACCACTCTTCCCACCTTCCAGATGTCTGGGATGATAAGAGTGGCCAT